TCGATACCATGTATTTGACGATATCCTTTTGCTACCAATCGTGCCTTGAAGGTTTGCACCTTACCATCCATGTCAGTCTTCTTTTTGAAGACCCATTTGCACCCAATGGGTTTGATCCCTTCGGGTGCATCAACCAAAGTCCATACTTGGTTGGTGTACATGGAATCCATTTCGGACTGCATGGCTTGACGCCATTCCTTAGCCTCGGGACAACTGATTGCCTCGAGGTAGGTCTCCGGCTCATCCTGGTCGATAAGCATTACGTCACCCTCAAAGGTTAGGAGGAATCCATACCTTTCAGGTTGTGTGCGTAACCGGTTAGACCTACGGGGTTCTTGTGTATCTTGAGCATTTTGAGGTACAACAGTTTATTCCTCTAGCTCATGTTCCAGAACCGGCGCGGTAGTTTCTTTGTCGTCTCGAATTTCTTCGAGCTCTATCTTTCTCCCACTAGTTGCGTTGGAGAGAAATTCCTTCTCGAGGAAGACACCATTGCGAGCAACGAATACCTTCTTATCGATAGGGTGATAGAATGAATACCCTCGAGTTTCCTTTGGGTATCCCACGAAGAAACACTTTTCAGACTTGGCGTCAAGCTTGCCATTCGTCATAAGACGTTTGACATAAGCCTCACAGCCCCAAATCTTTAAGTGTCAAAGAACCGGGCATTTGCTCGTCCAGAGCTGGTATGGTGTTCCTTCAACCGCCTTGGTTGGAACTCGGTTAAGAGTATATATTGCAGTGCTCAGCGCATACCCCCAGAATGATTCTAGTAGAGTCGAATGACCCATCATAGAACGAACAATGTCAAGCAGGGTTCGATTCCTCCTTTCAGAGACACCATTCCATTGTGGAGTCCCAGGAGGTGTGAGTTGGGATAAAATCCCATGCTCTCTAAGATAGTCAACGAACTCACCACTTAAGTATTCTCCACCTCGATCGGATCGTAGTGTTTTAATACTTTTGCCAAGTTGTTTTTCAACTTTATTCCTGAATTCTTTGAACATTTCAAAGGATTCTGACTTGTGTTTCATGAGATACACATAGCCATATCTACTGAGGTCATCAGTAAATGTAATGAAGTATGAATAACCACCTCGTGCAGTTGTATTGAAAGGCCCGCACACATCACTATGAATGAGTGCCAGAAGATCACCAGCTCTTTCACCTTGTCCGGTGAAAGGAGATTTGGTCATCTTTCCCAATAAACAAGATTCGCATGTGTCATATGATTCAAGATCAAATGACTCCAGCATTCCTGACCGATGTAGCTTGGATATGCGTTTCTCGTTTATATGGCCTAACCTACAATGCCATAGGTATGTTTGGTTCAAACCGTTCGGTTTGTTCCTCTTGGCTGATATGTTATAGACAGGCATGTCCAAGTCAAGGACATATAACCCATTGGTCATGTTGGCATTAGCATATAAAACATTCTTTCTGTAAACGGAAAGGGACTTGTCTTTAATAGAAATGATGAAACCACTCTTATCAAGACATGAAACAGAAATAATGTTTCTGCTAATCGCAGGAACGTACAAGCAATCGTTTAATTCCAACATTAGACCACTAGGCAAGACTAAACTATAAGTTCCGATTGCCAAAGCTGCAACAGGTGCACCATTGCCGACTCGGAGTTCAATCTCGCCTCGAGCTAACCGTCTACTCTGCTTCAGTCCCTGCATGGTAGTACAGATATGAGACCCACATCCAGTATCTAGTACCCATGATGAAGATATAGACATGTTAACTTCTATAACATACACCTCAGAAGAAATGGTCGTACCTTCCTTCTTCTTGGTTGCGAGGTATGTCTTGCAGTTTCT